CATTTCTATTGACATATGGTTCTCGAAGCGCTAAGATAGAAAACTTATTAGTCATTTCATCATTAAAAAGTGAGTGTGTTACGTGTATTGAGTGGCGGCAATTTAATTGTAAAACTGCGGCCGTGTTTGTCGTTTTCAGTATTTCTCGTAGCCGTTGTTCTATCATTGAGAAGTATTCATATTGTCTTCTTCTTCAGTGACAACTATGTACGGCAAGCTGCTTGGGTTGTGGGGTGGTTTGCTAGCTGCTATGCGCGTTGGGCATGATGGGCTAAACGGGTGGTGAATGAAGTCTGTGTGGTTAGCTTTAAATAAAGCTTTGATGTTAGCTGTGGGGTCCAATTTGGCCTTATGACGTGCACACGCGGTGCATTTCATGTCTGTCTTCCCTTTTTGAGGGCAGGTGTGCGTGTGATGGTTTTCGCCACAGTAAGGGCAGATAGGGGTTATGGGGCAGGACGAAGACGTGTGACCCGATTTTTGGCAGTCATAACAGCGTTGTGGTGGCGGCCCACACCTAAAAGTTAGGTGTTTGCCTCTGCCGTGCCATATCTTTTGGGCTACGCATTGCTGAACCTCTTCTTCGCTGTTCAGGCCAATCAGGATTGACGAGTGCCTTTTTGATGGATCTTTTAAAGCTTTTGGGTTAAGCCAACGTACGAAGGTCATACCTTTGAGTAGATTGTTGTTGCTTATTTGTAACTCTTCTCGGTGATCTTGGAGATCCGGATTGAATGTTGTTGGGATTCCGTTCACAATTATTTCGTGACGGGCTTCTTTCATTTTCATGTGCTTGGAGAATCCTTGCACCCACAATTTTGGGGAGGATCGTACTTTTGCGGCGTGGGCTGCCGTTTCAAAGTAGATGTCAATGTCATTTGAGGGGTGGCGGCGAACACTTTTGACTTCAATAGTGTCAGTGTCCTCGGGTTTCATCTTCAGTTGGTACGCTCTGAAGGCTACATTGAGCTCTTGGATCAATTTTGCGTTCAATAAGTTCGGATGTGTTATCTCGGATCCCACCTCATGAGTCAAGGTGACTACATTTGTGGGCTTAGATCGAGAAGGTGGTTTTGATGATGTACTTTTTACATTGCTAGGAGATGCGCTAGCACTTTTATTACTGGTTGGTGCGTGTTTGGACGCTGCCAGAGCATATGATGATGTGGGGGGGTCTTTTTATTAGGTACAGGAATTGACTTCTGTCCTATTGCTGTTCTTAGTGCGGTAAGTTCTTCAACTATGGCATCTAATTTGTCTTCAGTCTCTCTACCTGTAAATATGACAGATCGACCCTTTTGTTGTGGTCCTAAGAGGGACTCTGGCGTTGTGAAGTTTCGCCGGGCGTCTTTGTATAAGACTCGGTCATAGACCGCTCCGGTTAAAACCAAGATATCAGCCGCCGATTCAACATCGACGGTGATTTTCTTGGTTGTCTTTGACTTGTTGGCTAGGGGGAATCCAGCTTTGATCACCTCCAAGAGTTTTCCAACCATCTCCTTGAGAGATTTAGGTTCGGAGCCTCCTGGGAATAGATCGTGCATACGATTCGATCTCGGTGTTCCTGTTAATTCTGCTGCTTGTGATTCAGCAATCGTTCCGGGTGTTTCGAGCCTGGTCCTCTTCTTTGAGAAGTTTCCCAGGTCGGATGATTGGATTGAGGATGGTTGGGAGAGTCCTTGACTTAGTTTTGCTTTGTCAAAGACGAGAGGGGTGGTTGGGTTGGTCGTTTTGACCGGATCTTGGGGCCCAACTGGGTTAATAAACGCGTTAGACGCGTTTCGAGTTGGGGTGGTGGTCTTCTCGGACCCCTGCTTCATCTGGCCCGTGTCCAGCGCGTCATCAACCTCCATGTCGACCGTTGTTGCGTGAAGAAGGTGAGTCAAGGGTGTCAAAAAAGTAAGGATAATGGATTTTTGAAATTTGGACGACTACTGGCGCAGTCACGGACCGGGTCACGTGACAAGTTGTGAATTCGTGGTAAAAGACAAGAATCTCCTTGAGTTAGTGAGTTAGGCTTGTCCCCCGCTTTCTGGACTCTGGAGACCACAAGAAAAGTTGTACAGTTGATAAGGCTACTTCCACAAAATTCCCTAATAAGGCTTGCTTGCACAAAAGGTGTGAAGAATCAAAAAGATACACAATTACAAAGGATAATAATTGAAACAAAAAAGGCAAAAGAAGAAAAATCTTTACATTGACACTACAGAGACAACAAAATGATTTTCTCCAACTATAATGATATAGATGGCCAACTCTTCCAAGGTGAACTGGTTCTTATTCACTTAACATGTTTAATTATTGTTTCATGCAATAAAACCTTCATGTGTGCTTTTTTTTAAAAAAAGTCAGGCTTGGTGATCATGACTTGATTGAATTGTTATGAATCTTGAATCCTGACACCAAAAAAGTTGAGTTTGACAGAAATCCTTCGAGTTAGTACAAGATCTTCCACAGCAGAGTTTTCATAAATTTGAAGAGTCAGCTGAGAGGGTTATTTTAACCTTTGAATCTTCTTGTGCACCAACAGACTCTTCATTTTTGGACTTTGATTTTTGGTACAAGCATACTTCAGCCTTGGTTGAATCAACTATCAGCAACAACATTTCATCAAAAACATGACCCATCATATTTGTTATGCTCCCATATAAACATAATGCTTGTATTAAGTAGAGCTCTCTGGCATTAGACTCATGCCTCTCTGCTCATGTTGTATCCTCACGGTTCAATCTTAGTTATAATACATCAACATCTCTGATCTCGTATTACTGAAGCTCATAACAAGATTTCCAAGAGTGAAGTCAGAATGGTGTAAAGGGGACTGAAAAGAGAAGGTAAAATGTCACTGGGGTTCTCAGTGGGCAAGAAGTTGCTCAAGTCACTTGTCCCTGACTTGATGCCTCTCCAGCTCTTGACAGTTGACTCCTGAGCTCTCTTGAATCTTGCCCACATTCCACCTGATTTGCATTTCCATTAAAAATACTATTGTAGAATACACTCCAACATGTCATCCTAACTTGACTTTTTCCAAATCTCAGAATGCATCAAACAATCAAATATCTTCTAATTCACAAAATTGATCTTTGAGGCCATAGCTGATGTACAAGGGTAATTGTAGTCAAGATTTTTTAAAAAAAACATAGAGGGCAAAAGAGATGAAATCAGTATGCAAGTGTCATTTGGGAAAAACAAAATTAAGCTTTGTCTTGCCATATTGACTTTTTACAGGTTATCAATACTTCAAGTTACTTTCAGCATGAGTTTTTCCTTTATATATACCAAGCTCAATCTTAACCTGAAAGAATTGGTGTTACTCTTCATCATGTATAGTATCTAAGCTGAGGTCACTTTTGTTCAACTTTTCCATTTCCCTTGGGTTTTTGGCTTCTGCATCAGTAACCTGGTGTAAGTTTATAAAATCTTCTCCCCAGTGTGACCTTTGAATCTAATAGTATATTAGCTGTGACCAAACCAAACCCAGTTGACACAAAAACCCAGTACACCCAGTTTTGTTTTTGGTGATAACTTTGTTTATCTAGTGACAGCTCTTGACACCTTCCAGCCAAAAAGTTGACCGGATGTACTGGGTGTACCGGGTTTTGTGCAACCAGGTTTGGTTTGAACACAGCTATTGTGAATGTTGTGCCTATGGAATCAAACTAAATTCTGTTGCAAGGTGGACTCCTCAATCAGCACTCCAATTCCACAAAAAAACTCAAACTTTCACATCAGAGTCATCCAAGAAAATTTGGAAGAAATCTGGGTCACATTTGGGCCCAACACTCAGAATCCCCTTGATCAAAACCATGGTGAAAATCAATAAAGCTCCAAGGAATTCAAATGGATCAAACATCTTGCTTGGTGTCCATTTTTCACAAAAACAATTGTTAATCTTTCATCATTGGAAATCTTGGTTTCGTGTTGGGATGAGAGAAAAGAAAAGACAACTTTCATTTGCACATGAGGAGAATTCTAAACTAGCTGTTCCCGGACAAGCATTGATGTAGTCAGCCAAAAGCTATCTATACCAATCAACACACAAGAGTCGCACAAAACAAAGCTCAATTGACTTGGGAAACAAATCAACAGAGGATTTACAATGAGAGGTAGAAGTAATAAGGATCATCTACTTTGGAGCAAGATGGGGTGAGCAATCAAGTTGGGTGCTACACCGTATTGGTGGTGCCCAGCTGTACCTGAATACATCTCAAGTGTTACATAGATGCTCTCATCATAAAGGTGATACCTTGAAAAACAATGAGATCTCCATGCAAGGTAAAGATTGCTCATCCAGAAGTTGTCATGAACCAGACGCTGCCACACAGAATCCACACTTGAGGTGTAACAGTAAGATACAATTTGTATCAAGTGTTGGGGAGTGCAGACATAAATTGTACAATCCCCTCCAAGTGTCAAGTTCTGCAGCGGTGGGGCCAGGGTTTGTCCTAAACTCAATGATTACAATCTTAACAAAGCCCTATCTGCACAGCTGCATCCGCGCCCTCACTCACAGCGGGGTTCAGGACAAACTTAACTAAGTCCCTCGAGAGCTGTACTGGCCAGCTCAAACGAGGGACTTACGAGTAAAGTCGAAAATCTTGCGTGAGATCCAACGGTCCTTTCGTGAAAAACCTAAGAACCTCACTCCTCACTAATCTCACTTATCAACTCGATGTGAGTCCATAATAAAGAAGATGCGCACGCCCTCTGCCAAAAATCTCCATTTGCCAGTTTTTCATTGCCTCACTCGGCCTCACTACTATTGCAATAAGTACAAATGGGGCATTTTCGGGGCCACAGAGATGGTCCTGAGCGACTGCGGGCGACAAAACCGTGAATTTTAAGAATCAACCATGTATTAGTCGACAAAACCTCCAAACCCTTTGAAGCAAACTGTTGTTTGTTGCCGAGTGCTGGAGTGGTGGTACCACCACCACCTCCTCCTCCTCCTCGATCTCATTATAGCCACTGGCAGCACCCAAGCATCCTCATAACCGCACATGCTTCGCAGAAGTCAACGAATAAGCTCATACTCGACAGGCCAAGGAGTCGCCAAACCCCGCGATGAGGGTATTACCGCCAAGGCCAAACTCAAACCCGCGTATAATAACGTTAGCAAATCCGAACAAAAACACGCGGCGAACAAAGACTTTCAAGCGGAGCACTCGTACGAGGCGCGACCGGAGCAGACTGTGGCAGTGGTTGACCTACTCAACGGACGGACCACCATATTATTAGCAGGAACAGGCTTTGGGAAAAGCCGTGTGCCGGAGATGTTCTTCCACGCTCACGAAGAACAGTATGCACCCATCATCATGAGCATTAATCCACTGGACTCACTGGGACATGATCAGGTATATATATCTCGATTCGCAGTCATCATGTGCAACAAACTGACCCAAGGAACAAACCTTGCGTCACAGGTCAGCAAGAAAGCCTCAGTGAACCTGCGCGCGGTCAACTTGACCGGTGCCAACTGTACAAATAAGACGTGTGACAAAATTCTTCAAGGCGAATTCAATTTTGTTCATGTGGTACGTGACCTGTGGACCCACTCACTGTTAACATACTGACAGATAGTGTGTTAACAGAGTCCAGAGATCGCTTTGTCAAGTGATGTCTTTGACCGAATGTGGCGAAATCCAAGTTTCCAGGCACGTCTCGTGCTGATCGTCGTCGACGAGGCACACATGGTGTACGAGTGGGGGATGGTGGCTAGTGGGGAGGCCAGGCGACTCGCCTGTCAGGCCCGTGTCCAGGATGCGGGTGTTTTCCGCCTGTCCTATGGCGATCTCTCTCGGCGCATCCTTTCCGCCGGCAAGATCCCCCTCCTCCTGATGTCTGCAACTTGCACGCCGCAGGCGTTAAATGCGATTACAGAGAATCTGAAACTTGACCCACGAGACGTATGAATCATACGGGCCGAACTTACTCGACCTGAAATACGTCTAATCCGTAGATCTTTCAAGAGGCCACTCAATTTTCCCTTTGTGCTCTCTTCGCACACCATACACTGGTGCCAAATGAATAAATACCTCCCACGCTAATATATTGCGGAACTCAAAATGCAACTTTTGAATTTTTACTGATCCTCAGTGTCGCACGCGGAGTCATTCAAGAGGCCGCAAACGGACGCTCCATGTTTTCTCGTCGGTATCACGCCAGCACGGGGGCCAAAGCCAAAGAGGATGCTGTTGCTGCCTATGTTGCAGGCCACCTGGCCGTCCTGTGCTGCACGTTAGCGCTGGGCTTGGGCCAAAACTGGCACAGAGTTCGTTGGTCGTAATTGTGGGGCGCCAATCCCCGAGTAACTTCATTCAGATGTCTGGAAGGTGTGGTCGAGACGGTCGACGTGGCCTTGGGATCCTACTGGTTGAAAGCAACAGGACCAAAGGGAAAAACACTGTTGCTGATTTCATCACGCCAACTCTGATGACGGACGACGACAGGATGGACGCGCTTGCCATAACTCCTGTCTGCCTGCGCGTAGCGTTGGCGGTGGATCTCAAGTGAGTGATAAGTCGGTTTCGTGAACCAGGCCTCTTGAACTGACATTGTAATGGCCGGTAGGCTTGGCTACATACCATTGGTTTTGGAAAATCCGGATGTCCTTCACGAGACCAAACGCCAGCAGGTCAAAGGCATGCCGCTGTGCGATTGTTCAAACTGCAAACCTCTTGAGGCGGAGAGCCTGTGGCTTGCTCAGCCGACTCTTACCAACGCAAACTTTGACGAAGCTTTGCAGATGGACGAAGAGGCACTGGAAACTCTCGCATCGGAATTTCTACCACCGCCGCTACCTACTCCAGGTGATAATCGACCCGTGGCCCTTCTATGTGGGGCGGATGATGAAATCCTCGACTGCCCGATTGTTGAAACTCTCGTCACATGTATGGAGCGTGCGTTCGCGCTGTTTTTTTTGGAAAGATTCACTAGACCTTCTGCACTTGGGCCAAGCGATTATTTCGGCCGAGACCTTGCTTGGGACGTAGCGAAAAACTTTGATGTGCTCAGGGTCCCGAGTGATCTCGAGCTCATATTGGTCAGTGAAACTCTCGAAGGCCAGTTCGATTGCCTCTTTGGAGCCTTTTTACAATGGAAGGACGAAAATGACTCAGCACCCGCCATAGCTGCCGCAGCTAAAAGACGCCAGGCTGTGAACCGACCAAAAAACAACTTGGCCGTGCCCCAATCCGTCGAGGGATCTCAGATGCACAAAGATAGAACTGCGGCGGCGAAACTGGCCAACAAAGAGGCGCGCGAGTCCAAAAAGAAGCAGTTGGCGAGTGAGAAGGCCGCGGCAAAAGAGAAACAAATGTCTGACAAGCGCACAGCGGACGCGATCAGATTGGAAGCCAAATTGGCTGCTAGCACGGGTTGAAGTGACATGGGATCAAACTCAGGCGGAAGGTAAATTTTGCAGTCACTCAAAAGGCCAACAGACCTCGCGTTGGATCATCAGCGCGCGAAAAGGGTGGCGCACAACGAGGTTTGACATGTATAACTATCATCGCTCCTCACTCTCCAAGCTTGCTGACCTTGAGTTACCAATCCTCCATATTATTTTCTTCGTTCTCATCTCGCCCAGAATCCAAAAGGTCAGGCGAGCCCCACCGGAAACGAGATGATCGACCCGAGTCTCTATCATCTCTAAGTAACTTAATCATCTTGCGTTGACCCGCCGTCCACGAGTTGGCCACCTGGGCTAGAGGCCGGGCACCGCTTTTCTCCACTAAACACTCTTCCGCGTATTGTAGGAATAGTTTCATGGAAGCTGGTGTAATGGTGCATAGGTTAGGCTGGTATATGACCTTGTGCCCTGCGAGGGCTTTGAGTAGTTGCATGAGCCTGCGTAACTAAGCGCAGCGTGGTCAAATACTTATAATGTGTGTAATGTATGCTATGCAATGAAAGATTTTGACATCTTACCAGAGGGATGTTGTTTGACAATCGATAAGTGAGACGTTCAATATTGGTGCCATGTCCCTTGTTCCAGGTAACGTCAGTCCAAAAAATGCAGGCCGACCATGCACAAAGTAAGGCTAACTCACTGTGTTATTGTAATGGCTTTTGAGCCAACAAATATGGACTTCCATGTATTTGTCGATGGCCATCCAATGGTCCTTGCGCTCGTTTGAGGGGATCAATAGAGAATGCTTAATTGCATGTGCTAGATCTTTAGGTAGGTCATGCTCCAAAAGAAGGACCATGCGCGGCAAATGCCTAGCGTAATGCGAAAGCCCCGGAATTCCCTGGGCCATCACCGCCCACATCTTCCACATCTCCATGAGCCGGCCGATATCACCTCCCCGTGTCGCATTGTGTGCTTCCACAACGGTAGCGAAATCACGTAGTCGAATCATGAGGTTGTATTTGGTGTGTTCGACACTCTCTTTCACCTCCTTGATCGCCGTCGCATCAAAGTATTGAGTCCAGGCCTCGTCAAGTACCTTCTTCACATTGGCCTCTTGCGAAAGATCTATTTCGCCCATCGACCCAATGACCTGTCTGGCTCCGTGGACAGCGTCGTAAGTAATTTTCGAGGGATCTACCTGCCTAGCAGATTATCGAGGGACTAACTTTAATACAAACACCAGGTTCGCTTGGTGTACCTGTTGTACGGACCGCATGATCAAGTTGAAGTCTTGAGCGGCCACCGGCTTCTTATGATCACCTCCTAATGAAAACACGGATCGCCAAACCCCGGTATCTTCGCCTTTGTCGGAGCACCCCCAGTGTAGACCCCATAACGTTTTAGCTACATTCCATGTTGTGTGGGCCCCTCCGAACACGGATAGGACCCATTGCAAACCCTCGACGTCATCAATCGCCGGATATCTCTTTGTGCGCAGGCTCTCGAGAAGGAGGTTTGAACCTACGTCTCCGCCTGCGACTAGCAGGTTCCGCGCGAGGCTGTCAGCGTCCATGTTGATCTGGGCCTTGATTTCGTCCAACACCCGCGAGATGCCATCAGCAGAATTATCTGGGGCATTCATCATACGGAGGAAATGCACATTCGCCTTGTGCATGGCAATGCGGTCAATGGCCGGTGGTTTGGTGTCCAGCCGTGGAAGGAGTTCGCGGGGAGGTGCACCAGGTAAGTGCTCAACATAATCCGTAAATGCTTTGGCCAGTTGCAATTTGATAACTGAAACCCAATGGTCGCTCTGCGCTGGGGAGGGCGAAAATGCAGACATCTCGACTGCCTTTTGTTGGGCCGATGCCATGGATTGCAAGAAGGTAGCGAGGCTCACTGCCTCGTCCTGGCTTTGCGCGATCACACAAGCCTCAATAACCTTGAAGAAACCCCACGTTCCATGGAACAAGCGGGAGGAGGTGTCGATGCGTGTGTTGTGTATTCGTAAATGGATGTCAATGTTATCGTAGCATAACAAAGGTAATAGCTTATGATTGAGTTTAAACAAGTTGATTAGTCTCTCTTCTTGCACATCACGGAGCCGGTCCATCGCTTTGAGTACGGTCCATCGCTTTGAGTACGGTCCATCGCGATGTGGTTAGGCCTAAGGCATTAAGCCACTCATTTGTGCGACATGTTACGCCGGCCGCCATTGTGATGAGGCCATTGGTCAGGGGAATGGCATTACTCCTCCGATTGCAGGCCATGGATATCATGGAACACACAATAACCGGGATCTACACACCAAAGTGGCATTCGTAAGACATGAGTAAGCGTGCCCTCGTGATACAGACGGATTATCCCTACTTTGAGGCCGACTGACTGTTTCTACTTTGTGGGCACTTTGCTCAGCAGGGGTCGACTTGACATAGACTAGATTTTCCATCGCGAGCACACTTTCGTCATCAAGAGCTCCTTCAATCTCCGTGCTTCCAGGCTTGACAGCCATACCAGCGCGAGGAAGCTCAGGGGCCAACGGAGGAGAATCAGATGTTTCATCATCCTGATATGCGGTAAGGTCTTTCTTCTTCATTCCAAGAGATACCTTGCGCTGAATTAGGGAATGCAGGAAAGGCATCCCCGTTCGGACTTGTCTTGCGCGGGCAGCTTCGGCGCTTTCGCTGAAGTGGTCAGGATTGATATGGCTTGAGCTGACATAGGCACCAGCGGGGAAATGACCTCGCGGGAGTTCCTGGGCATTAACAATAGCCGACGCCTGGTGAAGTATGTATCAACTTCAGCTGTTAAACCACAGGGCTGGGTGACGAGTCCATTCACTCTGTTTGTATCTCACCTCATCCAAAATCCATTTGTGCCATTCACTCTCGCCGGCGTCACTGGCCAAAGTCAACCGTGCAAGATTCTTGAAAATGGACTTTGTTTGTTGCGTACCTAGGCCGGCTTTTATCAGACAACGCCGATATACTAGGTCTTCATGATTTGACGATAGAAAGGTGGCTATAAATTTCATTGGTGAATAATTATCTAACGAGTTTATATATTCACAGATTTGCAAAGTTTGAGTGACTGATTTAGAAACCACCGTGGGATTAGACATGCTTAGGAAACGAGTGGTGCAGGCTTGATAGATCGTGTATATAGATGATGAGATGAATCAAATGTAGCCTGTGTGTTTGGGAATGACCTATGCTGAACCCAAAGGACCACCTTTTCCCCTGGAGGATGTTCGTACCATGTTTGCCCCCACGTCGCACTTCGAACCTAGGGCACTAGTGTTTCTTTTCCATGAGTAGACCATCCACGCGATCCATTCCGAGGGCCAGGTTGGGTCTGAAAAACCAATCCAATGCCTTTGTGTGGCACCACACGTCTCATGTTCTCAAAAGAGGTAAGTGCAGTTGCAACCCGTGCAAAACTGGAAACGTTGCCTCAGTCATCTCCTTCAAACTCTGGTGTGCCGATGGTCTAGCGTGGGTGGTCACTCTCAATCCGGACGGGTACGACCAGGAACAAGGGGCTGTTTCCTCCGGAGGCCGGTGAGGTTCATATAAAACAATTTGATTATATAATCCCTACTCCCACTCAAGTCTTTCGCCGCATAACACCTTAGAAGGCAAACCTCCAATCCTCATGGCACAACTTCCTAGCGAGATGGGTGAATTGAGCCCCGAGTTGAATGTGGTGACCAAAAGATCAATCTTGAGAATCAAGCACGTCATCGAAGAGGAAGGCCTTACCATACCTTCCTTGGTCCACTTGTCCAATCAAGCCTCGAACTGGGATTTCTTTCCTTCGTACAAGGAGACCACGTGGATCGAAAAGACCCTTGATGTCTGCCGCTTCATCAAACACAAGAATATGACAGTCTTCAACTTCCTGTTTTTGCTTCTCGAACCCAATCATATCCAACTTGCACCTCATCGCCAAGAATGGCTCACCAATGAGACTGATTCCCGGGCTTGGGTCCTCCAGCTGCTCTACAAGATCAAGGCTATGATCTACTCGTCTGGAAACGGAACAAAGGTCTGGAAGGCATTCATATATAGCGAGGTAAGTGTTCACATTTGATGGATTTATCAATTGCATTGGTTCTAACTTCAACTCTCCCACTGGAATGAAAAAGATGGAAGTGCTGGAAATTTATGCCCCCCCCCGAGTCCTGAGTGGCCTCATTAGGTATGCGACTCGTCCTACAATCAGTTATAATCACGCGACTGACACCTTCTTTGTCCAACGCCTATGTGCCAGTTTGCATGGAGGAATAATGCATTATCATTATGGCCCTGACTTAGGCAAAGTGCTGTTCGATCTTAAGCTTTTATTATGCGCTCATACGCGCAGCATAGGAAAAACTTCTGGGTCTCTGTGGCCCCAAAAATGCCCCATTTGTACTTATTGCAATAGTAGTGAGGCCGAGTGAGGCAATGAAAAACTGGCAAATGGAGATTTTTGGCAGAGGGCGTGCGCATCTTCTTTATTATGGACTCACATCGAGTTGATAAGTGAGATTAGTGAGGAGTGAGGTTCTTAGGTTTTTCACGAAAGGACCGTTGGATCTCACGCAAGATTTTCGACTTTACTCGTAAGTCCCTCGTTTGAGCTGGCCAGTACAGCTCTCGAGGGACTTAGTTAAGTTTGGGTTCAGGACTAATCATGGATTTTTGGTGTGAGCACTACAAGGATTAAGTGTCCTCAAGTAGTTTTTTGCAATTTTATGGTTCCCTCACAAGCAAACCTCACTTTACTCTACAGGCAAAGTTGTTGATAATAATTTTCTACATGTGCATTTCTTGGTATCAAAAGGTAAAAACCACTCCATCAAGCTGTTCTTGAGACAATTTTTCAAGCCTTATGCAGGCGTGTTGTAAGAATCTTCACACCACTTTTTTGGCCGCATTACCCAGATTGCCTATTGTACGTTTGGCCACGGGATCATATAGAAAGTTGCTATAGTCCTCTTGTCTCTCCAAGCCTTGTGAGGGGTGATGCGTAAGAAGTTCACAACCTCAATGCTGGTAACAAATGTTGTGTTTTGATCGAAATATACCTTGAGTCATTGATGACTCAAATCTACCTTCTGTTTGAACAATCACTCAACCTCAACACTTAATTGGTCATGACGTCCCAAATCAATATACTGGCTAGAGTTTGGAAATGTTTCAAGACTGATTTATCTTCGGGATTGAAAGGGTACAAACTGAAAGTTTTTTAAAATGTCTTTTTGTTTTGATTATGATAATGGGCTATTTTCGTGAGTAAGCCATCACTCGATCATCACATCAAAACAACATCATACGATCACAGTAGGATTCAACAAGAAATCACGCAGCAAGAATGAGAAACACGAGTTGTAAAACATAGCAAGATTGAGAAAAGACTGTTTAGGATGAGATACAATAACAATGTGATCTGATCAATCTTTGTCTTATTTGACTAAACATCATAACACGGTAAGACAGCTTCCTGAAATAGTTCATATGACATTCTTTCAAGTGACATGAAAAGCACACAAAGATTGATAATCAGAAAATCCAAACTTGGTTCACTTGTCATTTAAACAGGATTTGAACCATCCACACTAACAGTCAAAAGAAAAACAATGTGAGCTTAACTTTGGACACTCTTACATCCGAAAAAAACAAACTGATCGAATATGATAAATACGGGTTAACTTACAAGTCCCAGGTAAAAGTGCCATCGATTTGAAAACTAGTACGTTCTTCGGGTGTTGGGCCAAACTTATCAAATAACTATTTTTAAAAGAGAAAAAAAATGTCAGATTCGATCCTTTGACAACGAAACAAAAACAAAGGTTTAATCAAAAACTTACGTCTATAGTCATCCAAACTTGGAAGCAACCAACATCAGGAGTTACTGCATTGAAGCCACAACCATCGAGTACCCGTGCATACTGCACTGTCTCTGGTTTTCCTTGTCGTTGGATATACCTTTTTTTCGTTTCGTATAAAATTCAGAAAATCAAATCGGATTCAGTAAATCCGCTGCTCGGTATATTCATTGATCAAGGTTTTCGAAAGAAGATGGATGGGGTCAATTATGAAACCAACTCACACTTGCTTCTGACAATTTTCAGTTCGAGTTCTGTAGATCAATTTCTTATCATCAATATTTCCATGCGAGACAGTTCAATAAGTTTCATCAAGATCTTACCCATTTAACCATCCAGAATGAGGTTCGTTACGTGAATCTACCCAACCTTCACCCGACCATAAGCAGACCCCCAAGGTGGTATTAGAATCATAGAATCCTAAAATCAACGCGTTCAAAAACGTCGTCACTCAGTCTTGTGTAAAGGTAAAATAAGTTCAAGTTGAAACATTTAATCAAAACACTACTTACCGCAAATCTATGCGTCAAGACGATTTTATAAAGTAGATCATAAATCAGTCTACTGTCATGATAATAGATTCTATAGTACATACCCCATTTCCACCTGCCACAGCGAGTGTCTAGTACAAATTATAGAACCAAAGCAACACAAGATCAGAACTGATTCACACAGATTCCATCAATCCAGCTCGTACGAAAAAGTTGACTCACTGGAATAGTCGTATCATATCGACGGGCAAGTCTGCTGCTATGGGTTTGTTGGGAAGACTGTAAGGCAGCCTGTTGTTGAGCAGCTTCACAAGTAGGATCTATTTTAAACTACAAATTAAAGAAACCGATTTAGAAATTAGATCTTAATTCTTTATATGTAGCATACAAAAGAATGATTGATGACTTACTGCATTACACGAAGTACTTGTCTTTGCAGAATTTGCTGAACAAGGAGCTCCTGAGGAGCCATGTACGCAGCCGTCCTTGTTAAGGAAGTAGCCGTAACAACCAGTATGTTGTGCGTCATCAGCTTTCACACAAACGGTGGCGATGGACACTAAGAGGAATAGAAAATGAATCATTCTGGTAATATTCTGATATAATGATAATCTCGAGGAAGAATTTTTTTGAATGAAATCAACACAAATAGTTCGTGAGGGAGCTGGAGTTGAAAGGGGAGCTTCAGACACTCATCTAGCTGACCTTTATATACCTTTTTCACACAGAGATGCAGTGCTCTTCTCTGCTCTTCTTTTGGCAAAAACAGACTCCGATGACGATAATCGACATATATTCTGTTCAGTCCGAGTTTCGACGCTCGAGTAATCATTCGAGCTCTTGACAGCTCGGTGGTACGTTTCCTAAAAAAACTCCCACGTCTGCGGTGAGCGGTCGGGATTCAACATGGAAATTTGAAATGAGTTTTGTAATTCATAAATCATAATGTTTATTGATCGTCTTATGTAGAATTTCAATCCGCTGCATCTTGTACATATATAATCCGCTCACATATCATTTGATAGACTTTCATCACCGCCTTTCACCGCCTCGATTTTTTTATAAGTACTTAAGAATTAAATGTTATATCAAGAGATTTTTTATCAAACATTAAGCTATATGATACAACGATACAATCAGCTTGATCGGCTTGGCAAATCAGTGGAGAAAAATGCTATCGACTCCGAGAGAAGCTCAGTAAAAATATGCCCCATCAGTGCATCACACCGGGAGGGGAGGAAATTCGTCACATATCGATTTGTATGTGCACTGCAAGACATGTTGATCAGTGTCGCTGTACACACGCGACCGCAGACGCCTTCATGAGTCACGACACCAGTGGTACAACTGCGAATTATGTGTGCACTCCTTCATGATTTTGATCAACGGTTTCCCTCACATATATTGATACATCATCATATATGACTAAACTTTCTTGCCAGTGTTTAATTCTAAAAATCTTTTTCATCTACAAACATGATGATTGAAGGATCCATTTACTTGGCTCTTGGTATTTGTACAAACCAGTAAAATTCAACCAAGAGAAAATGACTATATGGATGTACAAAAAACATTTCTCATCATTCAGTACAAGAGTGTGACTCAGATCCATCAAAACAACGAAAAACCGTCCGGATACATACATTAACGCCCTATATCATCAAAAGTCAGCGGGGAAAAATCTATAAAAATTTCTAGGTTCAAGTATATCATCCCACACCTCATCTCACACCATGATGCAGAAGGTAATATGTAATAAAGACTTCTGGCGCCATGAAATTGGTGTATATGAGAGTATGATCTGATTTTTTTGTCTTACTGAAAAAAAACATTGAACTTGTAAGGTCGGATTTTGTAATAATTTGATGAGGCGGTCGGAAAGAAATCTTTTTTTGAATTTAAATGAACTTTGAATCACACAGTCTAGAACTTTTGATATGTTTCAGTAAGAGATAGATCAGTGCTACACTATTGATGTGTAAGACCTTCATCATTTTATTAAGCCATAAAATGCCAAGGTGATCTAATTGGCGATGTAGTAATTGGCGATGCAGTTGCTGGGCGGAGCAAGAACTCCGATCACAGTTTTATCAGCGACTGCTTCAAGACCGATGATCATCATTCTATTATCAATCACCGTACGTACCGCTACAAGAGATATCTATAATTCTAAGCCTGAAGTGTAATCTAGTCGAGCCACCGTGTTGTTAAGAATCTCAACAAGATGGTAATATGACTTGAGCAGCCAATGGAGAGCTCTAATTGAATAAATACCATACATTAACTAAAAATTCTAATACAATGAATGATAAAAAACACTTTCAAGAAATTCAACCAAGACAAATTAATCAAACAAACCGAATTCCAACCATTACAAATCGAAATATCCTACTTCTCAAAACCTCGAATCCAATCAATCATGAATCATTTCGATAACTCATCACAGGAACATACTCAACAACCTTGACAACCCGAGTTCCAAGCTGTTCAAATAAGTTTGAAAAGACAGGTTCTAAACCCAATGAGATCCTAAACCCATCATCCGTCTGATCCAAAGTTTTCAAACCCAACACTTCCTCTTCGATCTCTTTAAGCTTCATGAAATTCTCTTCTTGAACTTCTGTTTTAGATTTCGTTTGATTCTTGATCGTCTTAGTCGTTTTCACTACTTTAGTTTGTCCTGATTTAGAATCTAATCGTAAAACTGTACGTGAAGTAGAGTTTTGCAAGTTTCGATATCCTTCCCTTATACGATCTTCAATAGATCCAACCCCACTAACTTGATCAACATACGAATGTCTAATCCCTTGATGATCATTCAAAGCTTTCGAACCAATGGTAGATAAATCCGGAAACTCTCTTTGACGGTTTTCTTCAGTTAACCTTAACCGCTTAAAGTTTTCTTGTAATCTTTCGAATTTGTTGATTTCAAGTTGAATGGATTCTTGTCTTTTCGATTCAAAGTATGAAAGAATCGATTCTTTAAACTTACTCTGATGGTCTTGAAACACTAAATCTAATCTTGAACAAGATGGACAACTAGAGAATGGTAATTTGTTTCGACAATAGATCATACCACAGTATGAACATCGGTTAGGTAATGGACTTGAAGGTAAACCGTGAAGTCGACCTGAACAAAAACAAGCTTGATTTTTTGGATTTTTCGAATTCGGTTTCGGTTTCGAATCAGAATCAGGTCCAGTTTGTAGTGAAGTGATGATCCTTTCTAGTTCAAATAACTCTCTTAAGATCGGTTCAGATAATGGAATCGTAAGATCCGAAACCTTCATCACCCGACCCGACTTGGAACCCAACGAATCTTCTAACCTTGTAATCTTTTCTTCCTTTAGTGACGGTTCAGGAAGATCCGATGTTCTTTGTGAAGAAGAAGTAGACGGATGACCAACGTTCGTATCCGTTCCTTGTTCGTGGGTTGGTTTTTTAACCACTTTTAATCCGTTCAAATCTTTTCCTTTATCTTTCACATAAACATTGCCACACGAACCGAACTTCAAACTCATATCTTGATATCCAATTTCTTTTGAATCGTTTTGAAACGGTTTCTTTGGTTTAGAAGAAACCTTTATAAACCTTGAAGAATTAGAAAGATCTGAATTTGTTTTGGGTTTAGAATTTAGGGTTGGAAAATCAAGTTGGTTTTGGTTTTGGTGTTGTTTTTGGTTTTGGTTTTGGTTTTGTTTTTGTTTTGATGATCCGACAATCGGTACAGATTCCTTAAATTTACTTGAAATGATTTGTTTAATAAACTGATCTTGTTCTATACCATCACCTAATAAACTTTTTAAATATTCTTGAATTTCTGATTTACTTACAAGTGAATTTAAATAAGGTAATAATTGTGATGAAACTGTTTCTTGATCTAAAAAAAACGAAAAGAAAAAACAATGATTTTGAGAGATAAGTTGATTGTGTGTTAGGATAGAGTGAATTGAAATCGGTTACCTAAGCATGTGAATTTCATGATAGCATTAGTGATGGATTGAGGAGTGAGTGTTTGGTTGGTAGGATTGTTTGATTTCATTTTGAATACGATTTGATAAGTTGATGATGTTGATGATGTTGATGTGGATTGGTTCAGAATTTCCAGAATGAAGACCAGTGACCTGTAAATCAACTCCCCGACACTCCAGCAGTCCGACCTAGGGCCATAGCCCGGCCTCGCCAAGGGTGGAGATGATCATACCCAAAGTTCCGAGCGCTTAACCACAACTTGGCCTATGCTTCATCCGATTGGAATATAAAAATCAATCCCACCTGTCCCCTCCCCTCTTCCACCAACCATGTACAGAACTCCAGAATGCTCACCACAACCTCATCAACCACTGACCGAAACCCACTTCCTCAACCCTCAAGCTCCCCAAACACATAACCACCATGGTCAGTTATCCATTTCCGTTTGACTCTTTTCATATCTTTCTTTTCTATTTTTAAATGATGTCACAAAAGTAATTTGCGTTTGAAGAGCTTTAAGATTAGTTCTTTTCACAGAACAAGAGTTTTACTTCGCCGGTAAATACTTGATCTAAAAGTTAATGAAACATAAAAAGATCCATTGTCTGAAACCTTCAACTTCTCAACAACCAAACCATTTGTTCTTTTCGGAATGTTTAAACTGATTTGATCGATTGATTTCTTTTAGTTTGTATACTTCAATTCACTCAAAAACCCAATCAACTTTCTCAATCAAAATGTTGGCAAAACCTTTTCAAGTTTTTAAATAGGTTTCTTTTGTTTGTTATTATGATGACTTTTATATTCCTCTTTCCCCATCTTATCCATCATGGTGAGTTTTGATCAAAGAGAACCTTGATAGCTTCATATTTTGGTATTTTCATACTTGCCAGTATATCCTTTTGTCTGATCTTCTCCTTTCTCATCATCCATTTCAATCTTTGTTCAGCTTTACTAATCTGATTTGAAAATTTCTCACTACGCATATATTCAGATTCAAGATTGTCATGGTTACTTCGAAGGTGTTTTCTTTTGATTGAGTTGTAGTCTTGTATTTAGCTGTAACCATACTTGTATGAAAACCTATTGCAACAAACATTTCCATGATAACTTTTGAGTAAAACACCACTTTTCACGCCCCAAGTCGTGATTTATTGAGAAGAAGAGATGCAGAGAGCCATCTGAGACCTTTGCGATAAAATTACATTGATTTGACCCAAATCCGATACAAAGTCAAATCACCAGTCCGTTAGAAAGATTCTTCACTCATAATCAAGAATCAAGATCAACTTGTGTACGTTTGTGGGTATTGAAATCTGGATGTAAGACTCAACATCAGAACCAAATCACCTACGATTTCGACCCACAACTCTTTGAAGTCTACTCATCCAACTTTATACTTAGATTATCTAGAAATAAGTTTATGTACAACTCAAACAACACCAAAAAAAACTCATTAAACCAAACTCAGAAATCAAAGAAAAGACCCAGTAAGACGAATCCGGTTAAGAAGATTCATGATCGATTGATCTCATGATTTCTCTAAGAGCTCTTTGATTAGTTTCCACTTCGGATTCTAAACTCTACAACCCCCCAAAAAAAAACAAGTAAAATCAACCACATTTGAAGATTACTGGATTCATTCATTCTAGGATTTGAGATTAACTGACTTTTATTTTAGTTTCTAACCTGCTTTGGTTCTCTTGAACAATCTTTTCTTTTTGAATTAATTCATCTTTGATAACCTTTTCAGGTTTCAGCATAAACCTACCGTTCCAAATCAACCGATTCTTTCAATTCATGAAGTTACAAATCCATCAGTTTACAGATATTGAACTTACATTTTTCCAACAGGTTTGTATAGTTGAAAACCGGATGGATTCGATGATTCACTAAGTCTATTTAATTCATGTAAGGTGAGTTTGATTTGTTTTAGGTCTTTTGATGATGATAAGTTTTCTGATTTTGATTTGTTTAATAATCTACCTGTGTCTTTTGATCTGATTTGAAGTTGAGTTAAAATCTAATCATTACAAAAACAAAACCAACATTATTATTATTATTGTTGTTGAGATTTGATTGGATTGGTAACTTACTTTATGAATTTCATCGTTTTTTTGCTGGTTTGACATTTGAGCTTGATAAGTTGATGAGTTGATTGTTTTGAAGAAGTTGAGATGAGAAGTTGAGAAAGATAAAGAAATCGAAACCGATCATTCAAACTGAGACAGTCTTGTGAAATAGTAGTTTCAGTGATTGTAAGTTGACATGTTCTGTGAACTGCACCAAATCAAATTTACATCCACTACATCCACTCGACTGGATTCATAACCACAACACCAGATACCACCATCAACCGGAACCAACCAACAAGAACAAACCCACCAAAACTCAAACTAAATGCAAAACTCAACCAAATTTCCACCACCACCACCAATAGATTCAACATACAAACTAGTAGAAGAATTTCCAACAGAAGACCAAGAAGATGAATGGGAAGAATGGGAAGAAGAAGTAAGTCGAATTGATTCAAAAAAAGTTTCTTACTCAAAATTCATGACAACTTCTTTTTTTTTGATTAATTTTTTTTAGATTGAATATACAACTTTAGATTTAGGTTCATCATTAGATCGTAAAACCTTTTCACCTGATTCATATTTTCAACTTTTAGTAAGTCACCAAATTCCAATATCCAAACCCAAAAAATCAAAAAGTTTCCAATCTAATTTTCAAAACTTTTTATTTTTTATTTTTTTGGGTGGGTGGGTTTTGAAAGTCTCTTCATTCACCTAATCCGATTCTTAAAATAGGTAATCAATTCTTTAAAGGAACTCATGAACATTTAATCGGTACAGAATTAATTATGAAAAACACAACAAAGTGTGAAACAAGTAAGTCAAGACCATTCCAATTCCTTATAACCGAAAAAAAACCAATACAAGATTTTGTTTTTTAAGAACCTTCATATGATCCATTAATCTCATTAACATCAAGAGTCAGATTCACACCAATCGATATCCAACCCACATCAGAATCCAACCAAGACTTGAACCAAGAAGAACTCCAAGCGATCAGTATGAGACATTGGGCTAGTCGGAAGATGACTAATACGATTGTGAGAAGGCCAAGGAAAAACAAATCTACTAAACATACAGATCAGTTGATTGTTGCAGAGGAAGAAGTTGGAGTTCAAGGTGATGGATCTAAGACTGATCATCTTGATCAACCTTCTTTGAATGATACTGTGGATAACATAAATCCTAAAACTTGAAGTTTTGATTCTCTATTTTTTCAATGTTTTTTTCTTTTTATCTCGATTCTTGGAACTCTTCTTCGAGCTTGTTGGTTTATTGTTTATTAAATTTAGAAACTTCAATCATTTGTATCATCATGATCTTATTGTAAATTGGTTTACGTATCCTAAACCAAGGGATTCATTTCTGTTCAACTCAGATGATAAATTTCTACACCAACATCTGCACATGATGGTTTCACATAAACTTGACTGATTCAAATATGATAAGATTTTCAATTTGAGGTGTCTGTTTTGGTGTAGTCCACAGCTCTAGTCAACTGTCTTGGGATCAATCATCAAATGCTATAGCAAAAGTTTGGTGAAGGTATGGTAGGGTATGGTACAAGTAACCAAGTTACAATATCACTGCTTTTCCTAACGGATCAGAGAAGACACTGTGGAGTTCAAAGAGAAATAACCATGTATATAGATATGTACCAAGAAGTCAGAGGCTAGTGAAATAACACATAATCTCTTGTCAAATCGCCCAGAAATATTGTAATTGGTTTCATTCCGAATGACAAGCGGTGTATGGGCATTCTGTGGTTTATGAAGTAATGCAAAGTCTCTTATTAGTAAATTCACAATCTTCTCTAACACAACAAATCGAGCCAAGGACCACTTACCTATGTATGCGATCCCATCTGGGTTTTCATTGCATGTGTATGAGTCTTGATTTTCGCATCCTGTTTAATGGGTTCAGAAGGGTTTAAAAAGATTTACTCTTGAGTGATCTAGACGGGTTTCAATCAAGACTTTCAAGTTAAAGTGTAAATAGTACTGACCAAAGGCTTTGGATGAAGGGAGATAAGCATATTGTGAGCAGTCTTGCTTGGTTGGACCTTTCCCATCGCTAGTATAACAACCAGCCATCGTCACAAGCTGGTCTTTACGATCTAGCACAAGTTCATGAGTCGTATGTAAGTCTCAATCAGCTTTGAAATAGCATACATACAAGGGATAATTTATAAGAAATTCTCTTACTTGGCACATAGCATTTTGATTTGACACAATTAAGTTGAGTACTCTCTTGCGGCAAGCCAATCGAGCAGGCTTAAAAGAGGTAAATACGTAGAAATCTTCAGTCTCATAGCCCTAGCAGATATGAATCCATGCACAAGTAGTGGTAGAGAGATATGGACTCACTGCCTTCGTCGATCCCGTCAGAGAAACTCCAACTGCCTACACATACCACTGGCGGATGGGAGCGTTGAGATGTTTGAGATACGATGGCCAAAAGTGTGAAGAGGGCGAGTATCAGGTTGGTTGATTGGGCCGGCATTTTCAAGGTGTAAAAGAGATATTCTTGAAATCTCGACGTTCAACTTCGAGTCGTTAAAATCTGCAATAACAGGTTGGCAGTAACAGCCGGACATGAGCTGGCTTTTATCCTCTTTTATCTCAGCTAGCAAGATCATGATCATAGGGTTGAAGGATTAGGAAAATCATTCATGCCAGCTAGGTCCCTGACAAGAAGCAAGCCGCTTGCGTCAACATCGCGGGGCTCATACAAGATTCAAGAACCATTTGGCCAGCTTTGGTATGGCTAAACTCAATGGCTAACATTCGGGAAAAAAAAATTGTGCGATACACACACCCAAAAGAATTGAGAGTACATTCAGCTAAAGGATGGGGGTGCATCATGGATTCATGAGTTCGACATGGTGGTTGTTCATGCTGGGTGCTTTCAACTGGATTGTCGCATGCTTGCGCTAAGTAAACGTGGTCACAAAGGCGTACACTGGAATGATCTAGAATAGCGCGATTACGGAAGTGGGCAGGGTACGGCATAAGAAGGTGAATCAAACATCCGCTTTGAACCTGCTACCGGTGATACAAAGATTCTCTGACAAGAGCATGGATCTCAAAGTGATCATTGAGAACTACATTCAGTGAATTATGAACAGGTTTCAAAAATTTCTTGGAAAGAATACCCTTTTAACTTCCAACAGGTTTGTAGAAGGTCAAGCTTTAGACAATTACAAAAGGTTCTTAGTAAGTGAAAGAAGACAAGTGGAATGAGAAAGCAAGAGATTCTAGATTCTAGTGGTACAAGAGAGAAATGTAAGAATGAATTTGGTTCAACAACACACAACTACTTGTGAAGAACAAACCTTTAGAGAACCAGAAAGGGTTTTTAGTGAGTGAAAGAACACAAGTGTGCTGAGAAAGCAAGGGTACCTGGTGGTACAACTTTAAGAGATAAATGTAAGAATGAGTGAGAAAGGAACAAATAAGTGAGGAAAAACAATCATTCTTATATAGTAAAGCACTTGCATAACAACAAGGTACCATAGATTGAAGAAGGATACAAATATTTACAATGTCAAAAAATGAAATGTGTCATAAGAGAAATTAACTATGACAATGAGATCATATGATAAGGTAAGGAAGTCAATTGGCTTAATAGGATAGTGTTCACAATTTTACAAGATGGGAAAGAAATAAAGATCCAGACAAAGTACACCAGGATACAAATTCACTTTGACACTACAAATAGGAAGGAGGGAGTAAGGGAAATACAAATTCTGACATGGTTAATGCCTTGTAAGCTATGCAAGAGGAATCAAAGATATCTAGCCATTAGAAAAACAATGTAGAAAACTGAACAAGGACAATTAAACTGGAAACTAAGAATGTCATAAATCATTTGTGGTCAATTCTTTGATAAACAAACCATAAAAGGGCAGTGTTCATATGAGCAACAAGGCAGATACTAACAATGGTCAAATAACTAAAAGTATATCACAACCACAAATTCCAGAAGAGAAGTCAAGCCTTTTTCCTCAATCCAACAATGATGTCATCTGGTGTGCCAGGTGTGTAATGTTTACTGCACCAGGATATAGATTTGGCATCAAAGGCACCAAGGTGGTGTCAATTGCAATCTTGGGACATTGACCAGGGACAGATTTTATGCCTCCAGAACTTTCAGATTCATTTGCCACCACCTTCTGGCGCAGAGTTAATTGAGTACCCTTGATCAAGCTCAACAAAGAGACAATTGAGCTAGATTAATGACTTTGTAGACTGTACAACAATGTTGGCAACACAAGAGACTCTTCATCCAAAGATGGGGGTGAGCCGGGCAAAGCAAGTAGTGGTGGCAGACCTCCAGTGACAGTGGAGGAGGCAAGGCCACACAATTGGCCCCATGTTGTGGTAGGAGACCAAGCACTCCCCATTGGCATGATCGCTGCAGACTCAGAATGCATTCCCAATGGTTTCTTGGGTTTTGTCCATTGATTTTCCACTTCCCTGTTGGTATAACTTCTTGAAATTGTGTCTTGTGCATCAAAAATATTCTAATTTTTTTGTATAAAACCTGGAATCTAATCATCATTGTCACCCACATCCTCATTATTTTGGATTTTCCCTTTCTGGATACACTTCAAATACATTCATTTGATCCATAAAAGTTTCTGAAAAGCTTTCTTATGAAAATATTACTTACCCATTCACATCATCACTCAAACAATGAATTCTTCAAGCGCGGGAAAGTCAAGCAAACAATGACTCATGGAAAAGCAATGAACCATCCTGAGTCATGACGTCATATGTGTATCATATATGAGCATATATGTATGCTACAAGTGAGACCGGGGAAACAAAGCCAGAGATGACATCTAACTTAACTAAGTCCCTCTCGGACGAACGAGTAGTCGAGAGAGGGACTTATACCTTATACCACAACTTTGGCGTATGAGCCGGAGAAGTTTGGCTGGGCACCTTTTCAATCTTCCATATCTCTATAGCCTACAAACAAATATCCTCTGTACCAAAGAAAAGTCCTCTGCGCCTGATCATCCTACACACGCACATCTTTTCAAATCCCTTCTTTGCCGCCAGGGAAGCTCTTAAAAACCGACTTGAAAAATTGTTTTTGTGTAACATTTCAGCGCGTTTGGTGTGAGTTTTTGACAGGCTGGACAGCTTTGTGTCCAATTTTGGTGATTTTTGCAAACTTCACAATTGGATTGCTCCGTGAGTTCTGAATCAAATTAGATGTAGGCTACACACATGTGTGTAGATTAAGCAGGCGCATAGCTCTTTTCTTTGGTCCCAAGGACATTTGTTTGCAGGATCCACAGATATGGCGCGTTGAAAAATCCCCCGGCCAAATGTTTCCGGCTCATCCGCCAAAGATTTGGTATAAGGTATAAGTCCCTCTCTCGACTACTCGTTCGTCCGAGAGGGACTTAGTTAAGTTAGAGATGACATCATGATTTTTTGTCTCCAAGTTTGTAAGAGTGAGGCTTCTGATTAACAAAATTCATGTTACAGATTTGAGACCCAGACGGAAGAACGGTAAGAAACAATTTCTAGACAAACAAACAACAGAATCTGATTTGACTCTGAGCAAAAGATAGCTAGCTTATCGAGTCACAAAGGATTCAAGGTCCACTGATAATGAATTTCAAGGTTGAAAGATAAGGGCTGTGCTTGAAGTCTAATGACCAAGGTGGCAAGAACCAAAGTGATCTTTTTAAAGATTCTCTTTTAAGGTAAGAAAACGAAAAAAAAACGATTTGGTTTATCTTTATCTTACTCAATATATAAATTCTTCAGCCGATTCAACAAAAAAAGCTTGCTTAAAGTTGACCCGCAAAAGACTCAAGCACTTTGCCGGAAATTTTTGGCCAAGCTTTCTTGGATTCACTGAGCACTATACTTGGATATGGACCTCGATCAGAATGAAAAAAATCTTTAGAAGTCGATTTGGATGAAAGGTAGGTATTAAGAAGACCGAACTAAAGGTTGAAAGAGTACAGCATCATGTATGCGCTGAAGTTGACCGTTTGCCAAGTCAAAACATGCAATCTACCTTGATGGATATTATGACCAGATGAAGGACTTTAAACTCCACGGTACATATTCTTCTCATGTTGAAAGCTGTGAAGTGATCTTGTAACCAAAGCCTTAGGTAGCCATTTCCCTTGGTGCTGGGACGATAGTGAGACAAGATTCGGTATATTTGCTTGATTCTTTTATGCCTTTGAGCTTTGATCGGCGGTGAAAGGACATATTTAAAAGACGGCACAGCTGAGAGTGATTTCAAACAATGCGATGATGAAGGATGATGATCAGTGGAAGTGAATGGATCCGAGAGTGAAACTTGTTCAAGTGAATGCCAAACTGTCGAGAAACATGCTGCGAGCTTTTTCCGTGACTTGTTCTTGATTTGATTCATCCACTTGACGACTACAACTTAAACTTTAATCTTTCTCCTTGTTACATATTTCCATTCTATCATATCATTCTTCTTGCACAAGACACAAGAAGACCCTTGATTATCACTATTACCATTATTACCCGTATTACTTACTATCAGCTGACTTATTATCGACTCTTGGGAGCAAAATATTTGATTCGGTCTGATTTGTTTGATCGATTTCGAACTTCGTAAACCCTTCCGAATCGATTTCCTTCGTCTTGGAGTGTGGCCGAGGGTCTACACGGAGAAAGGTAACGTATCAGTGGATTTCTTGGATTGATTCATTTTGATTCATTTCCAGTTTAAACCATGCCAGCCGTAACTGATTCCTTTTATGAACGTTCCGCTTATTTTTTGTTCTTCCTGGATTCAGCGCAAACCTTTAAATCCTGATCGATTCACGAGTCTCTTGACTTTGAACTTTCGAGCTTCCGGTAGCTTCCTTGCAGTTTGGTTCTTCCATCTTCCTGTACCTCAATCTCTAATTGGTCTTTCGGTAAGTCAGCTCCTTTCACTATCTCACTTGTTGACTCCTCCACATAGCCTATTCAAGCCCACTCATCCTTTTTTTGATAGACTAGTCCTCTTTACTAGATCATCAGAGTCAAACCCAAATCTTACCAAATCTAACCCAATCAGTTTCTAAAAAAACAAAGATAGGGAAGAGTTTGTATAGCCTTCAATGTATGCACAGCTCTTCTGATTCAGACCCACACCGAGAATCAAACCAACTTCTCATCATTGCTTACCATCCTTCTCAGTAGTAAACTCTAGTAAACTCCATCTTCTACCTTTTGCTGGTCTAACGGTCAATATTTAGGAACTAACTGGTATCACTGAACCTTTCTCTCTAAAATCACTCAAGCTCGTGGATTGGATTTCAACTTGTACTGCGTTTCCCCTGGATTGATTAAATTCAGACTCAACTAAATTTGAAACTGTTTTAAATTTTAAAATTTTAATCCCAAAGTATCTTTTTCCCCCTGACAACACCTTTATCATCTCACTCCCCATCCCTTTTGCCACATCTCACCTTTGTTCGTTTCAAAAAACCTGTTCCGTCACACACACTCCCTTTCTCGTTGATCCTCCTATAGATCGTCATCTAGGCTTGACATTCGACACAACTTTCTCCTTCTCTACTACCCTTGACCTTTCGATTCTTGGCGATGACTTTCCTACCTTTCTCTGTTTCATCAAACAATTCCAACTTTCCCGTCGACTTCGATGACCCATATCGATCTGGAGCCGTGAGTCAAAATCCCATTGGGATAGGTCTGTCTGAGGATGACGGGTTCGAAATCTTCGACCCTCGTGGTCTTTTCTCTCCTCGTCGTCGATTATCAGCAGATGACGCTAGATTCAATAACGAACAAGCAGATCAATCACCACCACCTGAACTCTCACCATCAAAACCAACTTCAGTCTTAACTTCATTCACATCACCTACCTCAATCACCGCTTCATCTTCTGATCAATTCGACCCTCCTTTACTTCTTCAATTCAATCAAGCCGCTCCCAAATCATCACTCTCTCCTCGACCTTGGTCTCTGATCACCAACCCAGTCTCTGATGATCTCACCTCTTCTCCCACAACCGACGGTTTCATTGACGTCACTGCACTCGACCTTCAATCCGAGTCCATTCAGCCAAAAACCTTTGACGGCGGTGGCAGTGGGGACGTCAATTTTAACAGCCCAATCGATTCTTGTCCGGTCTCGCCTTGTAGCGTAAGTTGCTCTTTCTAGTTTTTCATTTCACGTCCTCTCTTTCAACATCCCAATTTGTTACTCTCCATGATTTTACATCACTTCATTGGTTCTTGCTCTTTCTTCATGAAAGCTAGGCTGGTCTTGGCAGGATGATTGAACCACGATCAATCTCATTCTTCTAACCCCTAACCTAACACGTCTCGTCTTTACAGAAGCGTATCTTGGAAACTAGATATGTTGACGTAGAGGATTGAATCGTAAATGTACCCTCTTTTATACTTCCTCGTTTCCTTCTCACTACCGGCGCGTAAATGTACAAAGCTCGTTAATTGAATTATTTTCTCAACTGACCTATGATATTTTCTCTTTATGCTGCACCTTGACTTTTTCTTAATACTCTCAGTCCTTACCGCTCGACAGGTCGCGATCTGGTAGCATGAACCAAGAATCGCCTTATCCAGTCTATTCACCTCCGATGATTCCGAGAGGTAGATCTACCCTACGTCGGTTCGTATTTGAAGCACGATCTTCCCTACGATCTTCTTCTTCGCCCGACCCGAATCAGTCTTCTTCCACAGCTAGCATTGCTGCCGTACAGCCAACCTCCCAGCCGCATGCATCACACCAAACGCACTGCCATCATCATCGGCCCACACCCATCGTGACATGCCGGCCTCCATGTGGCACTCGTGATACATCTCTACCCACCAGGTTGTATCACGCCAAGTCCCCTGACGATCTCGCAGCTTCAGTCTCGTCGATGGCGTATTCTGAAATGGCCTCTTCTCCAGCGGTCGACTTCCTTGCCTCTTTCGCCGAATCTACTGTCCCAGTCAATCGAAACACTCAGCATGGTCCAGATCACAATTTGCTGGGTCTACTGGACGAAGGCGATGAGGTCGCGGGTCATGTTCTCGGTCCCATCATCGGCCGCGGCGGCTTTAGCATCGTGCGCGAAGCTACCGTGATTGAAACCTGCGAGAAGGTTGCTGTGAAGATTGTCCGACACCCCGCTCAAAACACCGTCAGCGATTGCGCGGTCGATCGATCCAAGAGAAACCTCACAAGCTCTATGAATCCTGCCTCGGGTCAAATGCCTGAACTTCATCATCATTCTTCTTCCTTCCGAGATCGTTCCAGCTCGACCCCAGTCCCATATGAATCCCACCTTGTCAAATCTACGCATTTGCCGCTGCCTACAAGTGTCACCGAATCTCTGGCTGCTGCCCTTCTCAAACGTGAGATTGACATCTGGTCATCGCTGAAGGAACATCCTCACTTGGTCTCACTTCTCTCGCTTCATAGAGCTCCTCATCAGACCCTGATCTTTATGCCGCTCTGTAAAGGTGGTAACTTACTTCAAATGTTGAATGACGTCAAGAAACAGGATGAACATTGTCAAAACCCGTCAGGAGCAAGCCCGGACAACCCAGCTCATCCGCCTCCTCAATTGATAGCGGATTTGTCTCGCGGTTTGCAATTGGTGCCACAATCCCCTCAACCCTCAGGACTTCATCTCGGTCTTGTGCGACACATTTTCCTGCAGATTGTCCGTGGTCTGAAGTACCTCCATCTCGAAGCTGGTGTAACTCATAAAGATATCAAACTTGAGAATATATTGATCCATGAT